ATATAAGTACATCAGTCATATACCTGTATACAAATTTACACTTGTGGTTAGAGATGTCTAATATAATCTAAAATTATTTTTCCGTGGTTGACTCTGTAGTTCTGTTAAAAATAAAAATGTGTCTATTACTAAAATTATTTGTAGAATGACTGCAAATGATAAGTTTCAAGATCTATGTCATTAATTTTTCATAACAAAACTACCTTTGATATTAAAACATGTAATCGGTATCGACATGAGGTCATTTTAAATCGCAGAATTACGTGATTCCAGTATCTATCGAAATCAAAGCTATTTTATCAACGTATTATATAAGTGAAAAATAAACAATACGTTGCATTTTAACTAAAATTAAAATAATTAGTTTGATACAATCTTGTGTAATAAGTGGAAGTGTTCTCAAATTAAATTTATTTATAATATATTGAACGGATTTATTCATATTAAATTTTTACATTTCTTATTATATTCATTTGCAACTTACAACTGTTTTATACATAATGACATAGTTGATTTTACATTTGTTAGATAAATTATAACGACTTTTTGATAATTATAATGTAAAACTAAAATGAATTCTTGGGATAAATGAAATTGAGATTTAAATTTAATTTTTTTCAAATACCAATCTTGACTTACAATTAGATCGTGTCGATTTTCTTTCCAACATTTTATAGTAGTTTTCTGTAAGTTAACAAGTCCATACTAATATGAATAAAATAACTTATGAAATTATAATATATTTAGATTTTTGAATGAATATAGTAATTGTTTTCAATTCTTATAAAATATATAGTTAATATAACTAGAATAAAGCTTAATAAATTGCTCCATTAGTCGCATTTTTGATCCATTCGAGATAGTAGAAGACAGACGTGTATACATCGGGTTTTCCACTTGCACATGTTTTTGACATCCAAGAGACAATGCCGATGATTTCGTATTTAAATCCATTGCTTTTTGTATGAAAAGTGGTCCTCCAGAATCTCCCTTGTGAAATAAATCATAAATATTATTTTTCCAAAATAAAAACAAGGAAAAAAGAGTGCGCGTAAGGTTCACACGCGATTGAGGTAAAACTTATTTGCTACTGTACAAGATGGCATTTAAGTGAAAATAAATATATCATATAACAATTTTGAATAATGTTTATTAGTAATGGTAACACTCGTGATGCACACATTTGTTAGTAGCAACCATTATACACATTTATATAATGATAAATTATAAATTATATATTTATATTAGCATTAAAAATATTTATAATACTTGAAAACAATAATGTAATTAAAGCCATACTTCAAATATGACATGATCGGTTTGTCATTGTAATTATCTTTTAGAAATAAACCTTCATTAGAGAAATGAAGTAATTGCTGATTAATCAGGAAAAATTATTGTAACCCTTCAACAATTTTTTGCGTATCTCCAACTTGTAAAGATTTCTGAGCAGTTTGGCATACTACAGAACAAATAATGTGTGTAAACCAAAGTATAAGTTGAGTATACCTGCTCAACCGGTTTGAATGATTCATAGAAGCTCTGTGTTACTCTAATATACTTTATTTGAGGCACTTAACTGATTCAAAATTCACTTACTTTGCATACACCTGATTTTGATTTAATGGCACACATCATTCCTGGCATAATGTATCCTGGGTGCCAAAACACATTTCGGCATTCTTCATCAGTCATTGTGTAGACTTCCATTTTTTGCAAATTGTTTGGATGTGCTTTTCCAGGATACTTGAAGTTGAAAATACACAGATATTTATATTAAGAAGTGTTTATGTAATCATAGGAATTTAATAAAAAAAATAATATAGAAAATGTATACCACATGCTTTCCCCATCCTGTTACTATGCTTAGGGTATTTCCCTTTGGTCGTTTCCTTGGTAAGGCGATTGGTTTTTGAAATTGGTTGAACTTTATTGAGTTTTGAAGCTAAAATGTAATAGATTTGGTTCATTCAAATACATACTTTGATTGCATATTTTATAATATTTTATACAAATAATCTCGTTTATGGTTTAATTAATTCATTTAATGACTACCTTTATAAATATGCATTACTCACCTTCACAACAGCAATGTCATTTTCCTTTGTTTTTTCTGAAAAATTGTGCTTGATAATTTTTTCTATTTGGTGTTCCTCACCACCTCTGGTTAGATTTATCGTGCCAGTTACAACAGTCAATTTATCAGGATTACTGCAAATGTATAAAAAATATTGGTCTTTTGAGTAGGTAATAACCATTTATACTTATTTATCTATGGTAATAACAACTTTTAATTTTAACCTCAAACAAAATTAACTATACCAATTTCTCAAAATCTTACAAAATATATAAACTCTAGTCTTTAATATTTATACACTTTTTTAAGTTAATTCATTTTTTGTTTGAATCATTTTTTTTCTAAAATTTTTAAAATCTCATATTTTGTTTGGTTTTAAAGCAAGGTGCAAATTTAGATACCGAACTGATATTTTACTATTTTCTTTCTCAACCGAATTTTATAAAATTTTCTACTATAAATCACAATTAACTTTTTATTAACGTCCCAAAGGAGATGTTTATGCTTTAACAGAAAATCCGGTTTGATAATTTTATGTTCTCTCGACGTTGTAAGTTATTCTTAATCGTGTGGCACCTAAATTGGAAAAAGTGTGGTTTTTATGTGAGCTAAAATTGGATGTTTGTAAACTTTATTTTAAACTGGCTGCACCGATTTTATAAGTTCATTCATATTAGTTTTTTTTTATAATTAAAGAGATAAGTACAATTTTTTTTGCCAAGTGTTCTGAATGTATCTCATTGATGAGTTCGAAAATGGGCGGGTTTATTTCTTCGTAATTAAGTGTTAAATGTTTTTTTCACGAACTTTAATTCTTATTGATTAAGTCGATTACACTTACACAGATCGTAATGTTTGTACAATTTGCTTAAAGCAAAATACCACTTACACCTAGTAAAACTTGACTTTATAATATGCAGTATATGAAATATTTCAGTACTATCACGATTTATTTCAGTACTATTATAACAATATAAATAATGAATTATTTCGCAATATTTTGTACTGCGTTTGATCTTATCAATGTCGCCCATAGATTAATTATATAGAAATCAACGCAATCAATTAGCTTCTATTTATACTTTTTATCAAAACAGTGGGCTGCCGTCAAAATGTAGTCATTGTGAATAATTGCTCCGCCGCAAATGTGTCTGCCTTCATATCTGATTGACACCTGGTGGGGAAATTCACCAAGAGCTGCGTTGTGTCCACCGATCATTTTCTCGCAGATTTTCTCACCTGCCGGAAAAAAATGTTGCAAATTATTGAAAGTTACATGGTCATATACATACTAGTGTGTGTATGTGGAAATAAAATATTAAATCAAGATATACAGCTTTTAGAAGTCATTCATAAAAATTATAGCTTAAATAAATAATTGGATTCTGGTTATTCAAACTTGTTACTAACTTTTCCCAAATTTTCGCTAGAAAATCTGTCTTGCTCATTTTATGTTTTTCGACATTTTATATTATTCTGAATTGTTTGAGACTAAAATTGTAAAAAGCATATGTGTACATGTATATGTTTATATGTGTACATCACCATTTTCTTGAAAACGGCTGCACCGATTTCAAAAATTTAATAGCCATTTAATTCAATAAACAAACTCGATAAGGACTCGAGTTGATTCGTTTTTTCGCGACAAACGGCCAAGCAGTTTCTTTAGAATTAGCAGAAAAATGCAAATTTAGGTATCCACATGTTTTCACAAAATATTTCGACCTGATTTTGAAAAATTAAGGGGGCGTCCATGAATCACGTGATCGATTTTTTAAGCGTTTTTGGACCCCTTCTCCTATTTGGTTATAATTAACTACCCCTATAGCTTGGGGGCGTTCCATTAATCACGTGAGCGATTTTTTAAGGTTTTTGGACCCCTCCTCCCCCTTGGTGGATACATGTGATATTCAAAATTACTCCCCCTCCCCCAGCAAACATACGTGTATTTTTAGTACATGGAACTGTAAATTTTTGATTCATTTTTGAAAATTGTTTGAATTTTTTTTTAAAAAATCAGTTAAAAAATGCCTTCCTCACGTGATATTTCGTGATTTTTTTGTCAACGTCCCCTCCGCCTAAAACCCTCACGTGATTAATGGACACCCCCTTGGTTATAATTAACGCCCTCTCTCCCACCAAACATAAACTTTATTTTTAGTTACTAGAAAAGATTGTAAATTTTGAATTGTTTTGGAAAATGTTTGGATTATTTTTAAAAATCAGGTAAAAATAAATACACGTGATATTTACTATACCCTTCCTCCTCCGCCACGTGATATGTGATTTTTTTTTTGTCAAACCAACCCATAAAAAATCATTAAAGTTTGGAATAAGGGGGCGTCCATTAATCACATGAGCTTTAAGGGGGAAGGGCGTTTGACAAAAAATTACCAAATATTACCCAGGGGAGGAGGGAATCTAGTAACTAGATACTATACTATACTAAGATCTAGTATTTATTTTTCCTCCTCTCAAGTAAGAAAAATCTGAAATTTTACAAAAAAAAAAATTACAATTTGTTCTAGGTACTAAAAATACACGTAACATGTGGCGTAGGGGAGTAATTTTGAATATTACTATGTATCACCACCGGGAGGGGGGGTCCAAAAATCCTTAAAAATTGCTCACGTGAGTTGCGCATTTAGGACATACAAATGTATGTTTGTGCACTATATTTAATACGATTACATATATTAAAAATGTGTTTGAAAGATAAACTTTAGAAAATAATAGTCACAATCTCACAATTTTCATAAGTCGATTATTCACACATATCAGCAAGCTCACGCAATTGCCTCAAGACATTTTATTGAATTTTTCTAAAATATTTTGAACCTACACAATGATGCACAGTATTAATTGTAAATAAATTGTTTGATATAAGATTATACAATTATTCATCAGTCATTTATTTGGAAATTAAAATTATCAAATGCTACTGAACACTACCTCCAATACGAATTATTATTCTATATACATATACTAACATTTTATTATTGAGAAACTCCTTGCAATACACAGTAATTTAAGAATACTCTGAAAATAAAATATTGAATACATTTATAATATTAAAATGAAATACACTACTGTTACATTTGTATCAAAACAGTAAAATGAATTAAAAAATCATTTGCACTTTGTATTTTTTAATATTGTTTGTTTTTTTTGATAACCCAACCTAACTCTCTTTCTTTAGTTTGATAATACATGAATTGGTAAATAATTTTTTATGATAAATTGCACATTTCACTTACATTGTTTTAGAACATTCACCAGTGGAAATATATAATTAATTTTTGTTAAGTAATAAAAGTATTAAAATAAATCTAAATACTACCCTTGGGAATTATGATTTCATATTTATACACAAAAATTTTATTACAGTAGTCAATTGAGAGTAAATTAAATATATCATTGAAGTAAAAATTTAGGACATTATATGAAATCTATTTTATTATCGAAAGATAAAATTTTATATTTATGGGTAGTATTGGTGAATAGTGAAATGAATCTAAAAATGCTTTATTTGGCACTTTATTTCTTTAATATTGTTCATTTTATGATAACCTAATCACTCTTCTAATAAAAGCAATAATTGTTTTATAATCATTTCATTTCACTCACATTGTTCGAGAACGTTTATCGATCATAGTTTATATGTGATTAAAACTTTTTAACATATTAAAAATATCGTTAAATATGTTAAGATAGTTTCAGTGAAAAACCAAACAAAGCTATACAACTTTTTGCTCTAGATCTTGCAATTAGAAATTATTCACAATAGGTACTTTAGTTTAATAATATCTATTGATTGCCTTTAAGTACTTACAGTTTCCGATTGCAATTATGATCAGAAAACTATTGTAACAAACATAATATTAACCACATTTGTAACTTAATATCAAAAAGAGTGCAACAATGCGTTCTCATGAGATTCACTGTCCAACTGATATTTATAAGAGTTCGCCTGCAATTTACCTGTCTATATCGCCGCATTCAATCTATTGTAATGAGTAATAATATGATTTTTATCTCTTTCTTTCTGTAATCTTGCATATTTCTCTTATTAATTTTTTCTTATTAATATTATTAGTGATTCAAATACATGTTATCTTATCAATATCTGCATAATTTAATGCGTTTTTCAAGTACTGGAAGTGATTGTACGAGGTATTACAATAATTTATTATTTGTATTACGTAGATCAGTTGTTACAGAACTTAGTATAATAATAAGTTTTTCTTAAGAATCACTTTGGCATATTTTTAATAGTATCTGGGCCAAATTTTGGAGTAGAGGATACTTAAAATTGGTATGTATATCGAATTTTCTTGAAAAATAATTCATAAAGGCAAATAAGTCATTTATTGAATACACCTTAGGATGAAGAAGAATTATTGACAACAACATTAAGCAACAAAATTGTCAAATTGATATATTGCATAAAGCAATTTCCAACTAGTGGCATCGCGTCTTAAGGCAAATTTCTGGAACTTTCCGCACCGTAATGAAATAGTCAAAAATGTTTTCAAATAGGTCATTGTATATATACTATAACTTTCATTATTCGTATTTTATGAACAGAATATAGGAGCTTATACATTGTACGACGACGTTTATATGTGTTTACATGAAAAGTAAAAAACTAAGACGAAGTAAAAAATAAAACGAAGTTAGAATTTTGTCTACGCGAATTATATATACTGAATTGCAAAGTTAAGGTTAAAGTTAATTATTTGAAGTATAGAAGTGAGTTTTAGTATTTTAGCTAGAATTATAATTAAAATCCAATATTTGAAAAAAATTAAATAATTTTTTTTGAAGTTTTGAAATTATTTTTTTTGCTTTTCCAAAAAACTAATAGTTTCTTCATACTCACAATACAAGCAAAATGTTTTCTGTATCATTCAAATCGGATGCTTCGTCTTCTCAAAATCTCGATTTCTATTTTCTGCACTCTTTGCTGTGTATCTCCGTAACGGGTAGACCTGCCTTTGCTAAAAACTAATCACCACATCTCCCTATCAATAGGAATCGAATGTTTTTTCAACCATTCAAATCGGTTAATCCGTACGCCCGAAATCGTCGACGGAAAATTGTATCCACACATACAGGCACACACACACAAAAATCCATTTTTTTCTGAGGTATGCCAAAATGTTCAGAAACCTCTGAAACGTAAATATATGCACAAATTTTAATTTTTAATTTTTGGACCATTACTATAACTTACCCTACGGAAAGTTAAAAATATTTTTTCGTTTAACTTTAAATCTATCAAGTTTCTTGAAAGTTATTATTTTCAAATTTGGAATATTGAATGGAAATTTATTCGTATTATAAATTTTTAACTCTCGAACTTGATTTAGAGTTGATCTAAAAATTTAATACTCTATAAAACCATAGAAAAATATACGCGTTATGTATTTATCTAATTGCTTTTCTGCATCTTAATCGATTATAAATTAATTAATTAAAATATTATAATGGCTTTTCTGCATCCTATTTGAGTCTAAAATAATGAAAAATTGCAATAACAACCCTTGCAACATGATTTTAGAACTAGAAAACTCTTGGTAAACTAAAGTTATTATCTATAATTTAAGGGGTTGATTCTGCCGTAAAATAGATCAATTTACGTAGAGTCTATGTTACGTTGAAGCTTCTCATACATAATGGTTATAAATACTGTCAAAGTGCTATGAATTTGCTGTGCAATCAGGCGTTTTACACGTAAGATGCAACTTCACTTGTATGTTATTAGGCAACATCACAAAGATGCACTTTTGAGCAGATTTTTTTCTAACGTTTGTACGTTTTGTAGAATAGGTTTTCTATATGACGTTTTGGCAGTATTTAGTACCATTTTGTATGTATAGCTTTTACGTAAGTTGGTCTATTTTAGGGCCTCGAATCGCCTGAAAAAGTAAACATGTAGCAAATTCCTAAATACTGTCAAAATGCTATGAATTTGCTGGCAATCAGGCGTTTTACACGTAAAATGCAGTGGCAGTATTTAGTACCATTTTGTATAAGAAGTGCTACGTAAAATTAATTGATCTATTTTGGGACACAATCGTCCCTTAAAGCAAACATATAGAAAATTTGAAGTCCTTTTACATCATACAACAAAACCAAGTTTTAATCGTAGAAAATTCATTTATTTAAAATATTTATCTATTTAAAACAATTTACATATCTATATTATAATTTGTATGTCTATTGCAAAACATGATCGGTATTTTCGTGAATCCAGTCCAAGTAGTAATATACGCGAACGTAGACATCTGGTACACCCAAAGCACAGTATTCATAAACCCAGGAAACTATACCGACTTGTTCCAAACCATTTGCACTTTCGTATACCAATGGGCCACCAGAATCACCCTGAAATCATAAATATTAGGACAAAATCGAAATTTATCAATCGATGTTTTGTATTTCTAGTTAGAGAAAAAATTGTAATATGTTTGATTTTTTTTTAAAATGTTTAGATTTTTTTTAAAAAAATTACGTGGTGAGGGAGGGGTATAGTAAGACATCACGTATATTTATCTTTTACCTGATTTTGTTTAAAAAATTCTAAACATTTTGAAAAAAATAAAACATTTTACAATTTTTTCTCTTAACTAAAAATACATGTGATGTTTGGTGGGTTATTTTTAGAAATGGAGTAATTTTTAATATTACCACTAAGGAGAAAGGGAGGGTCCAAAATCCTTAAAAAATTGATCGCGTGATTAATGGACGCCCTCTAATTAAATGATATTTGTTCTTAACTGTATAAAATAATCAAACAAATAAAGGCAGATTAGAGATTTTTCTTTCAGGCGTAATTACTTTTCTTTATATTTGTTTCCATCATTGTTCTATAATGTCGATAAATATGATATGCAATATATACTAAAATAATTTTTACACATTCGAAAAAAATGTTGGCCTAATGAGATGATTAAGTGATCAGCTTAGATTTGATTTTAGTTTTACCCTGACTTTAAAACAATTTAAAAAAAATTATGTCGGTCGAAGGAGCTGATTTACCATGTTGACTTTGATTTCACTTTCAGTATAATTATGATATACTTTTTTTTTAATACAGACTGAAAGTTTATTATTTGTACTAAGATATGATGGAATTAACATCATAATTTTATGAAATTATTCTAATTTTGCAATTGTTTTCCAAATAATAATTATCATTTATCTTACCCTGCAAGCACCAACATTGAGTTTGTTGAATCCGCACAACATTCCTGGGTAGATTGTGTTAGATTTAGGTCCAGCATTATGGAACTTTTGGCAGTCAGCGTTATTGTAGGTCAGAACATCCATTTTTTGTAAGTGATTTGGTAAAACATCACTTGGATACTGCAGTCAATAAAAATCAATGTTAAAATCATGAGACAGATAGTATAGTATATGATAAATAACCAAAAAAATATATAGAAGTTTTAGTGTAATGGAAAAATATCCTGATCAAGTTGTTTGGGATTTTGGATATTGTTTACGATCGTAATCAGAATTATAAGTTAATGTGAAGAAAATTTGTTGTAAGCCCATGGGCTTACCTTTATTTAAATTTTACTACAATGTAATTTACAAATGCTTTTAGACCTTGCAAACAAATGCTATTGAGTATGTTACGAGAAATATTTGTACTTTGAATATGAAAATACAACTAAGAACAAAAATCTAGTAGTGTAAGCTTCTATATAAAAAATTAAAAATAGATGTGAAACTAGTGGTGGCATCGTCCCTTAAGGCAAATTTTTGGAATTTTTCTTACTGTTTCGAAATACTCGAAATATTCGAGGAATTTTCAAATAGATTATCTAAATTTCTGTAACTTTTATTATTCGTATTTTATAAACAAAATATAAGAGCTTATTGAAAAGCTTATAAACAAAACTCAATCAAGCTGAGTTAGAAAGATAGATTTTCTCTCTCTAAGAAGTATATAAATTAATGTAAAGTTAAAATTATTTATTTTAAGTATATAAGTCAGCTTTAGAATTTTAGCTAGATTTATAATTAAAATTTGAATCATTTTCGAAGAAAAAAAGGTTGGCCTTTTCCAAAAATTAATAGTTTTTCCCACTCACAACAAGCAAACCATTCGAATCGGATGCTCCGTTTTGGCAAAAACTGTAATTTTTACCACTTTTTTGCTCTACAAATAAAACTAGCATGTCTCCATATCAATACGAATCGATATTTTTTTAATCTTTCAAATCGGTTGAGCGGTGCTCTCGAAAACGTCGACGAAAAATTGTATGCATACATACACACATACTACACACACGTACATACATCAACCTTTTTCAAATGTCACAATGTTCAGAAACCTCTGAAATGTAAAGATATGCAAAAATTTTCTTTTTCGATTTTTGGACGATTACTATAACTTGCCCTGCGGAAAGTTAATAATTCTGTATGTATTAGGGTTCTTTAAAGTTTTCTTGGAAAACTGAAAAGTTATCAACTTTCAAATTAAAACAATAAAATAAAAAAAATAAAGGCTTTCCTTGAATGTGATCACTTTTAAAAATTAATATTGATTTTTTCAAAAAAAAAAACTTACTGCGTCTAATCCCCAACCAGAGAATTTGCATTTGAGGTCTCCAGGTGTATCCTTTGAGGCCAAGGCGACAGGTTTCTGGTTAGCATTGAAAGTCAATGGCTGTTTCAACTAAAATAGAAAATAGGAGGTTTTATTAATGTACTTCAAAACAGTATTTCACCAATATTGTATGTCTTAACAAAAAGGCAACACTGAAATCTTTATAGTCCTCTATCTCCATTTCCAAAGGAATTTCATTTGCAAACTTTTGTTTGTAAATGAATCTGTTTTACATACAGTCCAGTCATCATAGTAGAATGTACGTACCATATGTAGGATTTGAGACAACTTTTAGGTGTCAATATATAAGTATTTACAGACTTACAGCTGGATATCTCGAATTCCGAAATGCTTACCTAATTTAAGCTCGAATGACTGGACTACTGGACTAATATTGGTCACAACGTATAATTTTCAAATTAATGTATTTTTATTTGATTAAGCTGTACCTTCAAAACTGCCACATCATTGTCCAAAGTGTTTGGGCTGTACTTTTCGTGATATTTGATGGAAGCAACAGCATGATGTTCTCCACCTTCAGTTAAGTAAAGTGCGCCTGATACAACGGTGAACAGTGATGGAGTTGCTCTGAGATAAATTGAAATAATAATTTAATAAATATAATTATCAATAATAATAATTAGTAAAAAACTAAGAAACGTAAAGTAAATGAATCACCTACGTAGAGAGTTTTCAACTACTAAATATGCCTTAAGAAACAAAATTGATCGAAGTTATATGAAGCATCTGATTTCCAAGATATTACTTTTAATTATGAAAATTATTCAGTACTTGTCTATAGATCTAATATATTTCACTTTCAAACTGCGCCTTCCCAATAGACAAAAGTGTCTCAATATATTTCTCAATTTCTGGATTTGGCATTGCTGATAGATTAGATAAGATTCGAAATTAATAATTTAATATTCACATATCATTTCAATTTTTATCATACCTGCCATATACGCAATGAGCTGCAGTCAGAATGTACGATTCGTGAATGATAGAACCACCACAAGTGTGTTTTCCATTGAATCTTAAGGAAATCTGGTGAGGAAATTCACCAAGTTTTGCATCATCGCCACCGATGATACGGCCGTCCAGAGAAGCCCCTAAATGAATGAAATATTTATATATGTATATATATATATATATATATATATATATATCAGAGTGGTCCCTAACATGGGCATTTTGTAATTTCTTTGCTGCAAATGCTTCCAAATTAATAAAAAATGAATCTCTAATAGTTTTTGCTCTTAATAGTAACATTTAAATAGAGCGCACTCCAATCAAAAGTTTTTTATATTTGTTACTAACATATGTCATTAAGTAAATTCTTGCGCCATCTGTGATAGTATTCGTGAGCTCAAATATTATGACACATAAGAATATTTATAAACCACTTTACGAAAACACTTTTAGCACTTGTAATTTTGATGGCAATTTATTACTGATAATTCGAGTTTCAACATCACCAATTAAATAAATATTTTGCTGCAAAATTAATCTTGATGCCCAGATATATATCCAAACCCAAACTATCGCACTATATTCAGTAAAATTTCCAGTTATTTCCTAATATATTAGGAATTTACTATATCAGAAATGTGGTTTTTACCATTTTTCTAAAAATTTGTCATTTGCCCCCTTTTTACCCCATGGGCAGGGTAAAAAGGGACATCCACGGAGCCAATGTCTTATTTTTTTTTTAAAGGGATTTTACGAAATGAATTCTACAATATTTACCCAATGCAAAATATACATTTTATGAGCACATTTTTTTACAAAGAAAACACTGTATATAACCTTGATCTTGTATATTAACGAAAATATTCATGTGTAACTTGGGTACATTTCGATCCTGTTTTTTGGGTCATTTCAAAAAACTTTGTAGAAGAAATCTTCAGTTTCAATAATACAGAATTATATATTACAGAAAAAAAACTAGGCAAATATGTTTGCGGGAGTTTTAGGGGCCAAGAAATCTATTTCTGACTATTATTTCACAAAAATAGTTACCATCAAGGTAGCTTGTAGTGTTTTAGAATTCTCTGTGAATTTCTTTGTACTTTCCTTGAATATTCAAGTTTTTTTATCAAAATCCTTTAAGGAAAGTTTCGTTGGCTCGAAATTTACTTTGGAGCTACGGTTTCTTTGGCAAATTTATTCTCAATTACTCACAAAAGTGCCTCAATTGCGAAATAACTTGATCCAACCTAATTTTTGATCCCGTTTAAGATAAAATATTTAATATACCTTTATTAACGTAAATCAAAAATCAACTACTAGGAATTTAACGAATACCTTTATACATTTTCAGCTTATTAAATTCACTCTTACAATATTAAGTATTAAGAATAAATTGTCTATTTTTAAACTATATCCAGCTTTTAATCTATGCTATTAAACTGAATAAATTGAAAATGCAAATTATCATAAATTATTGTTCACATTACAAGTTTATAAATTGTATTATATAAATAGATATTTTTGACCAATTAGTAAAATTATAATTATTTTTGAAAAAAATGAATTCAATTGGTGACCCCAATTCACAATAACTACAAATAATCATTTTTAATTATTTTATTTTAAATGAAGTCTGAGTATGAGTAAACATAATTTTGCACGTTCTTGTAATGTAATCAATAACTGAATTTCTATCCTCTTATCAATTTAATTCGAATAATTTTTAAGTCAACAAAACTTACCTGAGACAAGGCACAATACAGAAACGATAACTGCCAAACGCAACATCTTGACACAGTGATGAAAATATTTCTATATCTTTGAGTTTTATACCATATTTATCTGATACAGAATTTTTTGGTGTTCCATTTTTCAATCCGTTAATCTTTCCAATAATTAATGATAACAAAAGTGATAAGATTTGATTTAGTAAAGATTCGTATCAAGCGGACTTTCCAGGTGCTACTGAATTTTTATTGGAGTTTATTTGTTTATAAATTTTTTATTTGTAAATAGAATTACCAAGAATGAAATTTATGATATTTTTTGTAGAATGGTATACTTAATTTCACTTAATACTATTTTCTTTCGGATCATGATGGATTGCAGTTGAAATTCTTTTTAATTCGCAATTAAAGGGATTTTCATTAAGATTTATTAAAGTTGGGTCTTTGGGACCTCATTAAATGCAACTCCAATACAAACGTTAAAAGTTTCATACACAATAAGTGTTTGAAAAATAAAAATGCGCAATAATCCCTTAAATATCGCATAAATCGAAAATTTATGAAATTGAAATATTTTTTTACATTGAACATATGATTTTCCTTTCGTTTAATTCTAAACTTCAAATGTAATTCATGCCTATAGTAAATAGATGGTCGAAATGTTGGCATTTGTAAACCCTGGAACCCATTGGTATAAGAATGTATTTTACTAAAATTACAAAAACATTTAAAATAGAATAAATCACAGAAATACTTACAATCAAAGTATGTAATCTTATCAATTACACGTGTCGAATATTGCCTCAACAAAATACAAGATTTTGCATAATCATTACCTTAATAAAAATGTTTAATTTGATAACATCTTTTAGATTTTTTAAATCATTTTAAATTATTGATTTTTAATAAATTTGAATATTTTATCTATTTCGTAATCTCTATATTTTCACTCGAGAATTCCAAAATTAACACGTATTTTGTCGCGGGAGTGGCGGCATCCGAGTGGAAAGGGTTAAATATATTTTATCACATATTTTGCCTGGGTAATTCTTTTAGAGATCATTACAGACAAATAGTGAGTATGTAGTTAGTATATATACAGGGTGTCCCAGAACTCAACGTTAAGCCAATCATAACTATCGTGAAAAAAATAGGACAAAAAATTTGTTCCGTGTAGTTTGAAAATGATGAGCTTTTAAGTGCAACCCAGAGCTTTGGTCAAAACTTTATCCTTTTTTTTGGTAATTCTGGTTATTTTTTAATAATTTTGTTCATTTAGGGTTTGAATCTGTAATAGTAAATAACATTTTCAGGGCTAGAATAAACAGTAGTGACTTGTTGAACTATAGTTATAAACTTTGAAAATTGGTTGACTTTGAAAAATACTCCTTTAAAAAAGGACACTAAAGTTTGTTGACAAGTTCTATCAAAATGGTAAAGTACTTGATAGTTTTATAAAAGATTGTACTTTTGTTTTTACTTATATTCAATTAAAAATTTGCATAGCGTTATATTGTTGATCACTAAAAAATCTTAAGTTTTCAATATAAGAAATCAAAACATAATATCCACATATCATTCTATTACTAATAAAACAAATTGTATATTTTTTGCATTTATTTCACGTAATACTGAATTTAATGGTTTCAACTTAAATATACTGGTAAATATCACATATGCTGACTGACCTATACTATCACCTCATCTATAACATAAATTAGTAGGAATAGTTTTATAGAATATTTTATCATAGTTACAAAAAATAATTTGGTAGTGATTAAAATCAATTTGTCAGTTTGCCATACAAAGGAACAGCATTCTATGGTTTATCTATCTATGATTTTTTATCTATGATTGTTTTTTATTTATTAAATCTTATAAATACGTCAAGATCTTTACTATGATAACTTAGCTATTTTTTCAATTAATTTATTCTGAGTTGTTCAATAGAACATTATCAGTATGTTGATGGATCCAATCCAAATAATAGTATACTCTTGCATATACATCTGGTACTCCCAAAGCACAATATTGCCAAGCCCAGGATACAACTCCTACTTGAACCAATTTTCCATTTTCTTCGGCAACAAGGGGACCACCAGAATCACCCTGAAAATAATAATTAATTATTACATTTGTTTTCTTAAAATATTTTAGCGATTTTGCTAAAATCACTTTATTTTAAAATGCAAATTAATTCGAAACAAAAATTCTGAATAGTTTCAAAAATTCAATTAAAATTCTTTATTAATAAGTTAATAATTACCCTGCATGCACCAATGTTGAGCTTATGATAAGCGCACAACATTCCTGGTTTGATAATATCACCTGAAGCTTTTGGTTTAAGTGGCCCATTTTCATGGAATTTTTCACAAATGCTGTTTTCGTATGTAATAGCCATCATTTTCTTCAAAATATCCGGAATTTCGCCATCAGGGTACTAGAATAAATACATACGATTTTTTAAAACAGGGTACTAAATTAAATACATACGATTTTTTAAAACACTCATGTGGAGATACTGGAAAGAATAAAGACATTTCGTGGAATATTACATTTTATCAAAAAGTATGGTGAAGTTTATTATATTTTTATTACAAAACTTTACTTTGATTTTTTAACTATATTTTTATTCAAAATAAGAGCTTATTGTTATTATGCAACTTTATCAAATGTTGACTGTTCAAGTCGTCAGTTTTCACTATTTTGTTGCAAGGCTTTGACAAAAGTTTGGCAAAAGTTTGAATACTCGTGTCAAATTGCGTGTTTAAAATTATCGTTAGAATTTAATATAAAGTTTAAACACTTTATTACTGTTTATTAATGTTTATTTTCCGCCGATAATTGTTGAATGCAATAACTAGTTTCGAAAAAAAAAACACTTAACACTGCGACTTAGGACTGGTAAAATAGTAAAAAACTACTTAATCTACTTATAGACTGGGATATCAGAGTAAGGGACCGATTTTGTCGCATAACAGACAAATGTTATGTCAAGGCTATGTTATGAAGAACTTTTAATACAGATTCGTCCTAAATATTTTCTAGGTTGCTGTGCAGTTAGGCTATTTTCTCAGGTTGTCAGATAGAAAACATAACCTAGAAAGCGCACAAATGTCAAAAAAACAATTTTTTATAGCAGGGTCTTTCTGACCCAGCTTCATAACATACGACTGACGTTGCAGTTTATGTGTAAAACGCCTGAGTGCACAGTAAATACATGACATTTTGACAGTATTTAGTATGATTCAGTAGTATAATGTATGGAAGTACGAGCGTAACATGGCCTTGCCATAACATTGGTCTGTTGTGTAGCAGAATTGGTCCCTAAGTCAAACAATGATAGTGAAGCAATATTTACAATTTTAATATTTTTATAATAAAAAAGTAATTACCGCAGTCAAGCCCCAGCCAGATAGTTGCACAGTTTCTCCTCCGATGGTATCTTCCTTAGGGAGTGCTATTGTTTTTTTGTTGTTATCGAAAGTAATTGGTGTTTTCAGCTGAAAGATAAATATTCACATAGTTGAATTTACAAATATTCTAAATTTTTTAACAAAACAAGTCTTATGAAAATCGACTATTTCCATTTTGTGTCTATAGGGACGAAAGCTTTTATGGGAGAGGAATAATGATTTTACCTTCAAAATAGTAACAAACTATTGAACAAAACTACGCATATTTTACCCAAATTGCAGCTTTTCAACTATGGCAATTAAAGCTTTCAATTTTATGCAAAAGTAATGAATTTCTTTTTACTTCACCTTATATTAACCCTTTCCACTCGGATGCCGCCGCTGCGGCGGCACAATACATCTTAGTTCCGTAATTCTCGAGTGGAAAGGGTTAAAAGAAAAAATATGAAAATAATGTTAGGAGATCATATGAGCTAAAATAAATTAACTTTTCGAAAACTGGATGTTGACGTAGTTCAATTTGACCATATGTATTTGAATTAATGAGCTGCTTGAACTTCTAGTCGTTAAGTGTTTTGTAATTGATTAAATGCGAAGCAAATGGCCGAATTTAGTTGTCATCAATTATTTTCCCATCTACGATATGATGTAGTTTATGTTTATAAAAATCACCTTGATTACTGCAATATCGTTGTGCATTGTCTCTGGACTATATTTGTCATGATAAGTAATCTTGTCTACTTGATGTACTTCACCTCCTTTCGTAAGCGATACCGAACCAGCAACGACGGTAAATTTAGTGACATCATCATCCCTGGAAAAAAATATATAAATTGTTACACATTGTGAAGGAATAAATTTTCGTGTTGGTGCAATTTTATTTTTCTTACCTTCCTTCAACGCAATGTGCAGCCGTCAAAATGTACAATGAATGCAAAATTGAGCCTCCGCACGTGTGTCTGCCTTGGAATCTCAATGAGATCTGGTGAGGATATTCTCCATCTTTTGCATCTTCTCCACCGATAATACGATTTTCTAATGAAGCCCCTAGAAAAAATACAAATTATTAAAATATAATTATAGAATCAACACGATTTCTTCAAAACTGATGACCCTAAACTCCGCAACTAATGTCGAGGAGTGTTAGTTTAGTGATGTGATGTTAATGCTTACCAAAACTGAGAGCCACCAAACAACTGAACACTACTAACTTATACATTTTCTTTTAATTTCTTCTATTTCTATTTTAACTATGAGATGGAAAACTTCAATTGCTCTCTACTTATAAGAAAATTTTCGATCTTTATCAATAAATTATAGTTGATAAGCGTTTGGCAATTCTGAGGGTTTTTTCGCATCATGCGAGATAAGAAATCGCGTGCCTCCTTCGTAATCATTTTAATCGAATCAAAAATTAAAAATATAATCGATAATCAGGTATCTCTTGGGAAAATCCGTTAATCTTTGATTAGAATATGTTTTATGATGGATATTAATAGAATTATCATTTGAAATTCGATGAATTTAAATAATTTTATGAAATTTGTTCTAGAGAATTTGGATGATCGTGTTTATTCACAGAACATGTCACATGCTACCAAATTATATTATAGTAATATATAAAAATATAATATACGTAATTATATAATTTTTTTCACTAAACTTTATATATAATATTTTGTTTTTTATAATGTTTCTTATTGCTACTTGAATAATACATAAGATTTTTGAGTCTATATATATATATATATATATATAATATATATATATATACTAGCTGGCCCGACAGACGTCCTGTACACACGTTCACAATTCAAAAATTCGTTTTTTTAATATCATATTATAATATGAACCGTTTTGATGAAAGTCATTATTATTTTTTTTGCAATATTTATTGGCATTCTATACCGAGTATATTAGGGTGGTCCTTAATGTGGACATTTTCGAATTTCCTTGCTCCCAAGGGCTCAAATGGTTCCAAATTGATAAAAAACAATTCTCTGAAAGTATTAGCTCTTAGTATTGTCTTTAGATAGAGCGCAATTCAATCAAAGTTTTGTATGGAAATAGCATGAACAAATTTTCAAAAATTTTGCAGAGCGCCGAATTTTCAATAAAAAATGACACTAATTTTCGCTTTTAATTCATTTATCGCTAAGTCATACCTACATTTTTTTTTAATTTTCAAAATTTTTTTCATGCTATTTCCATACGAAGTTTGATTGAATTGCGCACTATCTAAAAGTTAATATTAAGAGCTAAAACTTTCAGAGAACTGTTTTTTATCAATTGGAACCATTCGAGCACTTGGGAGCAAGGAAATTCGAAAATGTCCACATTAAGGACCACCCTAGTGTATATATGTATAAACATCAATGTAAGTGATTAAACGTAAGAACTGCCTTAATAAAATGACTCAGTTTCCCACATTCAACTCAATTTAAATGTATCTCATTTCCTATAACAGCTCTGTATTGTTTGATTTTAATTATTTGCATTTCAAGAAGTCATGATATTTTAATGTTCTAACCACTGAAGTGACATCAACATAATGAAAATGGTTTTTCCAAATTTTTTCCCTAAATGATCATTTTTTGTCCTGATCACTAATTTGTAGTCATTGCATAAGCCAAACTTTCTGGGAATGTGGACGTTTAAATGGTATAACTGAATCAAAAGTATTTATTTATATATCTATCAGTTTATCACTTCGTATTTTATATTGGTAATAATTAACTCTTTCCACTCGCGAATTCCGGAATTCATATGTATAAATATATAATTTATATATATAAATGAATAAAATTTCTTTGATATTACAATTTAGTTTATTTTGTTTATGCATATTATTTTATGAGATATATTTATAATAAATATTTTATTCAGAATTGTTCAATAAAACATTATCCGTGTTTTTGTGAATCCAATCCAAGAAGTGATATACTCTTGCATAGACATCTGGTACTCCTGTGCCACATGGAATACCAAAAGACACCACTCCGACAACAACTGGTCCATCAGGTTCTCGAACGATCAGAGGACCACCGGAATCACCCTAAAAAATTGAAATTTAACTAACCAATTTATCTATAAAATATGATATTCGTCCAACTCAAATTATTCTGCAAACAAATCATTGCATTAACTCATATCATTTGTAGTTTATCAATAACAATTCATTTACCATGCATACACCGATGCCCAGTTTCCGGAAAGCACACAGCATTGTTTCAGTTATATCATTTTGTCTAGAAGTTTTATTTTTGATTGGTCCTTGATTGAGAAATTTTTGGCAAATGCGACTTTCGTATGAGATACCCATCATTTTTTGTAAATGATCTGGTATTTGACCAAATGGAGTCTGTCAATAGAAACAAAAAAAAACTACGTTAATTTTGGGGATACTTTTCAATTAACCAAATTGAATACTATTAGGTTTTCTTTATTTTTCAAGATTTCAAAATTATATTTGCAATTTACTCACAGTTTGGCCCCAACCAGAAACTTCAACAGTCTCTCCGCCCATGGTGTCTTCTTTTGGAAGAGCTATAGGTTGCTTTGTTTCATCAAATGTTATGGGAGTTTTCAACTAAAATTTAAACAAAAGAAAAAAATAATAAGTTACTAACTAGTTGGTATTGGTATTTTGCCTTGAGGCAAGTTACATGAACTTCCCGATACGTGTAAATAATCAATAAAATAAAAATTAATTTATTAGTGATTAAAAGTATTCCGGGTGGATTTATTACACATATTTCAAAACGAACGAACACGTTAACTCGGAGTATTTTCTAAAAGCAAATTTTCACAAATCAATGATTTTTATAATTGAACCAGTTTCCGTAGGCCTGGTGCAATGGAATGGTTTAGTATGTTTATTAAGACCAAGTACTCCATCGTTATGCCAGGTAAATCGTCTAATTTTAATTTGAACAAACGTCAAAAAGACTACTCCTATTCTCAAACTTTGTTCAATTTTTAAAATTAAACTACTTGTCGTAAGGCCGCAATATTTCAGTAAGTTCTATAAGACTATGATATATATCTGAAATGATGATTATATTTGAAACTGTTTTTGAAGCAAAATCCTATACTGGTAACTCTCACTTGTTCTGCAAATTGAGCACAAGCTTTACAAAATTGTATTTAACAATTATTTATTCGAATTTAACAAAAAAATCTATAAAACGTTTTTACTAAAGCGGTACAAGTAAGTAATTCAGAGATACGAATTAAGCTATGCAGCTTAATCTTTGAAGTGTGAAATTAAATCTTCTAGTAATATAAATAAAATTAAGTAAGAAAACAATTCAGAATCATATTAATACCTTTAAGCTTACAGCTTAACCCAAAATATTAATAGAAGCTTTACAACTCACTTTTTATTTACATTTTTAATTGCTTTAAAAGATTTTAAAGGTTTGCTTAATTAACTCATTAATTCTATTTAACATTACCAAATGATATAATATATAATTATCATAAAATATATCCGGGTACGACTTGAGCAACCAAATGGGATTTATATGAATGTTGGATTTTTTCTTTAAAAATTCGAGTTCCGTATAAAATAGTCATAATCGAGCGAATTACTGAATAATAGCGAAAATCAATCAATTATTTTATGAACTTATTATTCAATCCTAAAAGATATTATATTATTATGTGTTTCTTAAAATTAGATTGAAGAATGTTCACTAGAGTAAATGGAAACTCTACTTCTATTGTATTAGAAATTTCAGAATGGAATTATCAAAAATTTAGCGGTTCTTGTTGATCATGATCGATTTTCCTTATTAACCAGAGATAAATAATATAAGGATAAAATTCAATTCATACCTTAAGAATGGCAACATCATAGCCTTTGAAAGCAGCAACATATTTTTTGTGATAAGTAATTTTTGCTATTTCATGTACATCTCCTCCTTGTGAGAGCAGCACCGAACCGGCAACCACGGTGAACAAATCGATATTGGCATCCCTTCAATAT